AGAAACAGAGGAAGTGAAAGCACAGCTGCAGCCTCAGCAGCCACAACACTGCTCCTGTCAGAGAGAAAACCCCTTTCTTATATTTGCATATCTGCATTTTTACCTCTTTTAACTCTTCTTCCCTCATTTCCAGTATTCCTGAAGTCTGTTCTTACTTATTCCTTCCTGGCTGTCTTACATTCATTTTCTTACATGTATTTATTTGAGAAGGTTAGTTTCTTGCTACGCAGCAGAAATATTTGTGTTTAATCTACTCTATAAAGGCCCTAAAACCATGAAAAAATGCTCTGGAAGCAGAAAAGAAACAGTTAGAAGGAAGGAAAGGAGGCACTGCAGGAAAACTCATTTACTGAAAAATGCAGCTTATGTCTTATCAATTTAATTCCAGATAAGTCTTCATTTTGCTGTGAAGACAGATGTGATAAATATGTTAATGGCAGATTTCGATAGTTGAGTTTGTAGAACTGCAAAGCCAGATGGAACTGATAATTTTTCTTTAATTTTAATTTTGTAATAAAAAGCAAGAAAGCAAGAAAGTTCCTGATATCATAACACTGTAATGACTTTTTGAAGGATAATGGACGTTAGCACAGAATGATGATTAACTATCATGCCTTGATACTTAATATTTTATTAAACTCCTGTTTCCCTGGCTGCAATTCTCTCAGCTTTCTTGCCAGAGCCAAGCAGATTACTGTCTGTACCTGAATTTTCCTGTTCCACATTCATAAAGGTATTTAGTAGCAATCCTAAGCTGGTGAGCATTTTACTAAATTCTACTGTTGGTAGGCTGGGTACATGCCTAAGCAAACAACTGAAAACGGCATTGGATGGAGCTAATCTCTTACTGTTTATCAGGAGCCAAATATTGCCTTTTTTAATTCCCTAAGCAGTGAATGCAGTTCCTTCAGGGTATTAGGAGTATCAGGACTAAACTGTGACCTTCCACTCCTTGATTATGATTCCCCCAGTATTAACATGTACTTAACAATATCTGGTGTAGGCTTCTCTTTGATTGTTTCAACTTAGAACAAAGCCACTGAGGGACGTATTAACACCTTCTTAAATCTGTAGGATATTAGTTGCTTAAAATGATAGGCAAAAAGGAAGCTAGAAAACTTTTGTGGCTTGAATTCCCTTGAAGAGGAGGAAGCAGTAGGTAGCAGGAAAAAAGCCTAAGACAATTTTAGGAAATTTTTTACAAGACTCTTGAAAACCACCTGAAATCTTACTCTGGAGTTACTAAGTGAAAACTTGGTATGTTATATTCACTGTGGTGGTTCTAACTGTGGAAAGAACAGGCACATCTGGTTTGTTCTTTCTAAATTAATTTTAATTTCAAGAAGATAAGGTCCTGACTGCTTCCTCCCATGGGAATCTCTCCAGGAACAACTTGGCAAGGGAGTGAGGACCCCATTCTCAAATCAGTTGCATTAACTTCCAGGGCTTTATTAGTCATTCTCTATTTCTAGCCAAGCTCACAAATCAGAAACTGATTGGCTTTAACTGTTTAATTCAATGTGACAGTTAGAACCCCCTGAGGACTTTATTCCAATTATTTCAGTGAGAAAAATGTCCATTTCTTGTGAATGATTGCTTGTATCCCACTATTTACCGTTAGACAAGGGTACAATCATTGTTTTGTCACCAGTATACTCTGTTGGGCATCCTTGTGGGTAAATGTGATATTGGTTATTAGATAGATATCTGCTACTTGTTATTGATTCTTTTATGAAATAGATATCTGATATCTTAAATACCATATTAATTAATCACTTAACACCTACCATTTTGTTCATTTGTTTAGTTTGCCTATATTCTCTTGGGGTTTATCTTTGTTTATTCAATTAGTAAGTAATACAAATTGCAAACATATGTGGTCTGGATGTTTCTTGCCCAAATAAAATGATCAGATGAGAGGGAAAGGGAAAGTCTGTATTATACTGCTGAGAGGAGAGAAGAGATCCCCAGGCTCTGGAAGTGCAAGCTCTGTCAGCAGGAGCCAAGCCAACTTAATTAGTCCTGTGCAGAGACTAGGCAGAGTGCTTGGCTAATGCAGCTATACTATGTTTGAGAATTCATCTGTTGTCTCTGGACTTTGTTGAACTGTGCAAACATCCACGTCTCTGCAGCACTGCACCTTGCACACAAGCAAAAGCAGTTCTTGCGCTCATCTAAGGTCCCATTCTGTACTGGCTGCTAATCTCACATAATTCAGTCACTAAAATGACAGTCAAAGACACACTGTATAGTCCTGCTCCTGGCCCTAGTGTTCCGTACCAAGGTCAGGGAACAGCAGGCAGAGACAGCTGGAGCCTCTCTGCCCTCACAGCCTTGCTGTGAGCTAAGAGGCAATCAAAGCACAAGCCTTAGCTAGAGGTGACCCACCCTTACAGAGCATCCTGAGGTATTGGCATAAAACAGTCAGATATTAGACCTCTGCGGACTCATGGAGCAGCAACATTTAATCCTGGAGCACCAAGCCAAGCAGAGTTTCCCAACTGGTGGGCAAGGAAGCCATTCACCACCCTCCAGGAAGCAGCCAGTGCTCCCTAAGCACCAAGCAGAGAGCTACATGCAGTAGGAACATGGCAATTCATGCAGCACTAAAGCTTCTTCCAGGCTGTCACTTTGTCAGGCTTAAGTTTGGCTCATTAGGATGTTCATTTGTTATTTATGCAAATCCGTTTATGCATAGTCACAAAATATGCAAAAAGAGACATTTATCAGTTTGGCACTATCTCCAGCTTTCTGAACCCTCAGACATCCCTGATACATGTAGAAGAAAATACTGTCTCTCCTATGCCACTGCTGGCATAGAGAGGCCAAGGCAGAGCCTATCAACTACTATCCACATCCTCTCAGAGGATTCACAGTGCTCAGGTTAGAAGAGATAAAGCATTCTGTCTGACTTTAAACCTATTATGTTCCAGCTCAGGGTGTTTAATCTTATGAATAAAGGATCTCTACTTGTTTTACCTTTCCAGGAAAGGAGACTTATGAATCTGCATAACTCTATTCTGACTGTACTTTATTATTTATTGATAATGAGCATGTGACAAAAAAAAACGTCCTCTGGAACAGTCTGCTTAAATAAGTTTCTTTGCTTGGACAGCTGCAGTCAAAGGTCACTCTCACTCATGAATGTGCAAAGGCACCTCAGGTCTTCACTCTTCTATGTTTATTGCTCTCTCCTCACCTGAGGAAAATATTATCTTCTGGGTGAGTCTAATCTAGAATCAGCATCTACCTGTTGCTCTCCACACACAACCATCAGTAACTGCAGGAGGTCTGAGTCCTCCTGACAAGGGTACAAGTCTACCAGAAACACAACTTTAGGGAATTCTTCCGCAGTCCTGGACCCCAAACCAGTACCAGGCTGACAGCTTGTCTATTAGCTCCAGGGACCAGTTTCTCACGTGTCTCCGCTAGCCTAACAAGATAGCTTATTGAAGCTGTTATGAGGATCACTGTACAAACTAGCAGAAAAGAAGCTTCTGTAGTACAATTAAAGACAGAAGAAAATGACACAGCTTCTTGTTATGTTACCCTTTTCTGAGGGACCTGCCTTACCCATTAATTTCTCCTATGGTCTGTAGTAACTGCCTCCCAGGACCCATGTGCAGCTGTGGACCTGCTTGTGGCCTTGGAATTAGCACTGAAAGGAGGAACAAACACCTCCAGCAGGCAAGGAGAGGCACTCACAAAGCCTCCCCTTCTAGAGTGCCAACAATTGAACCTTAATTTGATAGCAACACAACAAACAAATTTCCCTGACCTCCCAAAATATATTTCCATGTGTTACATTGGATTTAAAGTGCAGCACAATCACAAGCAGAGACCTGAAACTATTTCCAATGTTTTTTCTTCTCCTGTACAGAATTTGCACATAAGAGCAACTGCAACCTAAGTTAAATACCTTCTGGACTGTCTCTCTTTGAAGTCCACCAAAGTGCCTTTCTTTGGTTCTTTACCAATATATGCAAGCAAATCGTGTTCTGCTGACCCTAGTCAGCAACTAAGCACTCACCCAGCTGCTCGTGCCATCCCTCTTGTCATTTAGATAATGAGGAAAGAGGAGAAAAAAACCAAAACAGTGATGCAAAAGCAGCCACTCACCACATCCCACAAGGAGCTATGACCACAGTACTAGACCAACCAGCCCCTCAATTCTTTATTGCTGAGCACAGCATTATATGTCATGGATGTCCATTTGGTCATTTGGGGTCAGCTGTCCCATCTCTGTCTCCTCCCAACCTCTTGCCCACCCCTAGCCTACTTGCTAGGGGGGCAGCGTGGGAAAAAGAGAAGGCTTTGACTCTGTGGGTGCACTGCTGTGCAACAGCCAAAACACTGGTGTGTTATCAGTGCTGCTTTAGTCACAAATCTAAAACACAATATCTAAAAGACTACTGTGAAGAAATTAACTCCATCTCAGAGAGACCCAATAACAAAATTAATGGACAAATACATTGTCTTAGATTAACCATGAAGAACATTATCCTAGAAGAGGCATTCATTTTTTAACATCAAGTGCTCTTCTAAAATCCTTTATATTCCAGATCTACTTGCTACTTGGGTAAGTGCAAAATCATGTGCTCAAAAATATGTATGCAACTTGATTTTCTATGAATTTAATTCTGCTGGTTCCAGCTGAGCAAAATTAGCATCATGAAAACATATACTTCACCCTAATAAAGATTTAGGCACAGCCACTTCAAGTCTCTCCCTTCACTTTTGCATTTGTGTAGTAAAGGATTATCCATGCAAAATTTTAAAGCCAAGCTTTCTGCTGTGAATCAGCATGTTTCCATTGTTTTTCAGGGATCAATTAACACACACTGAAGATTTTAGTCATTGTTGTCTATAATGGCTAATTTGCCTATTTTGGGAAACTGAGAGCCATTTGTGTACATGTCACAGGGTACACCAGTGAAATGAGGACTATAAATGGACAAAATATGCCTGTAAAATATTCAAAGAGAATTGTGATACGTTACCTTGGGAGTCTGTAGCACATCAGACACACCTTGCTCAGGTACTGCAAAATCAGATTTTGGTGCAAATGTTGTTGGCTTTTTGGGAGGCCTGGGGGGTGGATGAAGGGTTTGGTTTTCATATCTTCGCACCATATAGTACTGCTCTTGGCTGATCTCTTCCACTGTTGTCTTAACCACAGGTGGTAAAACTGCCTGGATATCTTTGTTTAGCAAATGGACCGACAAGTTCAAGCGATATACAGGAATTTCCCAGCTCTCCACTAGATTGCTGGCACTACTGACCAGCAAATAGGAGTCTGTGATTTCTTCTTCAAACTTCAGACCAGGCACAGCAGCCAAGACATCTTCCTCAACAGAAAGGTCCCTCACAGACACTTTGACATTAAAAGGTAAATGAAATTCTTTGCAAATCTCAGAAAGCTGGTACTGTTTCTTGTCGTGAATCACTTCCACAAAGCCACCTTCCATGTACATAGGGAGGAGCACTTTCTTATACTTATCACTTAGTATTTGTTCACAAGCTAAACTGTCTATGCATTTCTCTCTTCCCTCATACAGAACTTCATTAGTCTGGCATTGCGGAATTAGAAACTGATCTCCAACTGAAACAGAAAAAAGCTCTTTATGAGGGGAATCAAAGGCTTTAGTTGCTACAACATGAAGTTCCTCCTTTTCACTTCTTGCTATCTTTAAGTCATAGGCAGTTGGAAACTCCCGAGGCCTTCTCTTGAACTTCCCTTTGTAGCTCATAGGTATTAAAAAATGTCTTTTGGGGGAATCACTTCTGATCTCAGAGGCTAGGACTCTTGTTGCCTGGTACTTTTTGTAGATTATGATCTCCTTCCCTGTGCACAAGAAGTTATAAGGTTTTTGGCTTCTTGAAGGTCTTTCCATGATCTCGGCAACCATAGGAAATTCCTGGCTTGTTCTTTCAAATACATCTTCCAAAGAGAGTGGCTGAAGGAAAGAGCTAATATCATAACAGTCAGTTATATCCTTGACTTCGACATCTAGATCTGAGAGGATACGAACAATGTCCTTTCGAACTGAAAAGGAAAAGAAATACATTGATTATTGTTTTCACACTGACTTTGGAATAAAATACATGTCCTGTTGGCCAGATACTAAAAGTACCTTCCCTGAAGTGTGTACCTCCGTATGTTAACATGCACAACTAACAGGGCCAGTCAAAGTCTAACTGTTATAAGTTGAAATAGATGGCTATCAGACATGCAGAAAACCTCAAAAAGGAAGAGAGAAACAAGACAAGTGAGAATAAGGTGTGCAAATAAACAAAAGTTGAAGAAAAAGGAAAGGGAAAAAAATCCAGTTCACAAGCTTTCTCACAGCATCTCCAAGTTTAATCAGCTCTCTGTCTTATCAGCCTCTTTTTCTTGAGTACAAGACGTATTTATACTATCTTCTTTCATAATAACTTATGGTTTCCGCAAATAAATGGATGGGGAAATATTTTAAATAAATAAACAAATCAACAAACAAAAAAATGAACCTATCAACACCTATTGCAATGGCCAGTCTGGGACAATTAAGATATTTTTATATTTATAAGAATAATGAAAATATCTATATTTATTAGAAAATAATATAAAAAACAAACAAACAAACAAAAACCCAAAATGAACCCTAGAAAAGACCAAAATCTTGTATAACAAAGTCTAAGCTTATTATTAATGAATGAAGAAATTTCTGCTCTAATGGTTCTCTGTGGAAAACTTGAATCTTCTGTAGCATGTGGGTTTTATTCACTGTCAGAACTGAGCCATTGCATTTAACAGTCTGATAAGAAACAACTCTTCTATCACAGCTGAACTTGCAAAATTTTGGATGCAAAACTTCCAAGCACTTCCAAGCAATGCAATTAAGCTTGGGTTAAAAATTTGTCTCTGGACCGGCACCACCACAGATCACTGACCAGGGGCAGTAAAATTTAAGAAGCAAATAATATTTAAAGACTCTCTTCAGTAAGACTCATTCTGCATTGACCTGCACACAAGGATAGTATGTCCTGGATTCACATTCCCGTGTGTCCTGGTTTGAGCCAGGATGAAGCCAATTTTTCTTTTTGCTGATTTTTTTTCCTTCAGTAAGTTTTCTTGTAACTAGCAACCGTGTGTTCTGCTAGGCTGATAAGACAGTGGAATGTTTTTCTAACTACTGAGGCTTCAAGGCTGCACCTGCACTCTGCCAGCTCAGACACTATGGGGAGATCTGTGACCCCCCCCCGTAGGAGGCTGAGTTAGATGGACAGCAAAATTGGCCAAAGATATTCCATTCCATATATCTACGTAAGCTCAGAGGAAGGTCAGAGATCACAGGAGACAACTTCCTTCCTTCTTCTTCTCCCCTTCTCTTCTGTCCATGGCCGGCGTCCGGGGAGGACTCTGTTCATCCATCATCGTCGATCCTCAGGCTTGATCTCTCGTGACCCCCATAACTCTCTGCTTTCTCCAGCAGCAGCTTCGGGATTCCTCGGGACTCTTCCCAGTTCAGGGAAGTGCTGTGGGAGTTGCTGGGGTGGGGGGAGGCGAAAGGCTTTTGCCCATTCCTGAACATATCTGTACATAATTGTATATATTTTCTTGTATGATTCATTAGTGTTTTAATTAAAGCTGTGTAGTTTAGTTTTCAATCCAGCCAAGTCTCTCTCTTTTTCTCTCTCTCCTTCCCTACCTGGGTTGGGGGGAGGGGGGATCGAGAGCATTGTTGTCGGACCTAAGTCAAACTGTGACACCGTGTAACAGCACATATCAATATTTTATACTTTAAAATCAGTATCAATTGTATTTTATACGAGAGAGCTTTATGACAGTGATTCGGGATCTGTTTTTTACAACTCTACTTTTGTTACATTGACACCTACCTTCAGGTGACAAACATCGTCAGTACCACAAGGAAAAGTCAATAAAGGAGAAATGACAAGTCAAAATGAAAGTTTTCTATGAACATTTGGGGGAGTTCCACACATATAATTTGCTCATTATTAAGAAAG